TTGAAGGCTAAGGAAAAAAGTTATTGAGCTTTTGCAAATAATTTAAAATTGAGTTGTGCTGTTGGTAAAGAGTTATGAACTGGTTTCTTTGAGAGAATGCGAGCGTACAAGTGATAACGGAATTCTAATGATTCTTCGAGTGATTTAGTAGTGGGTTGCTGTTCTAACAGGATGAATTAAAAGGAAGAAGGATATGGTAAAAAAAGTTTTGCAGTAGAGTTTAAAAAGTAAGGAAAACATTTTTGATAACGTGTTGTTTATCTGAAGTATTTCAGAAATTTATTTTGACATTTGGATATTTAAAAAATAAAACTTATTTGTCATTGCTCTTCATTGTCTAACTTGGTGGCTGTTAGTGTGTGGCTTGGCGAACGAGTGATTGACCGAGAAGTGGTGAAGGAATCAATAAGAGAGTGTATTAGTGTAGCGGAATTTGTGTAACATATTTGCTGCTTACTGGCTTTGATGCAGGAGTTAAAAACTGGGGTTTTTGCCTTTTTATTTGGAAGAGCCTTTCAGAGAAAGCAGTATTAAAAATATGTCTCGGATTTCTTAAAAGTTTGGAAACTTTCTGTGTAGGATGTTTTGTACTCAGTAATAATAATATGTCATCATCATCTTTATTCTTGCTCCGTTCTTGGTATGTTGTTGATGTGACGAAAATTATCTACTGTTATTGTGTTTGTTCTGCCCTTGTTTTTTATTGTTTATGCACGGTTTTAGTTCAAGCAGTTTCCCAAGCAATTCCTTCTTTTTTGCTAGTATGAAGAAGTGTTAATTTTTTTGCTGTAGTTGATTTTTTCATTAATTGGTATCTTTGCAAAAGGCCCTTTTATGTAATTTGATGAGACTACTGAATTAGTGCTCTGCCGAATATAAGACTCAACTTACAAACGGATTAGTAGCACGCAGGAGCTTGTTTTTGGCTGACTTAGTTTAATAAGGTTGATTAGTGAAGTTATGGGACAGAACGAGATTTTTCTGCACACTAGGAGCTGGTGATGAAGCTGAGAGAATTGTCTTGAAAAATAATTTGAGGAAACTTGGTTGGCCATTTACTTTTTTCTTCTTCTCAGTTATGTTTTACTAGGATAGATCATTAATGACTTCTTAATTTTCCGTCTAATGAGTTCATTGGTTTATTCTGTTCTTGGTGAGTGCCGTTTAGCATTACGGTAAAAATAGTAAGAACATGGTTTTATTCCACTAAAACCTTACAGGTGATAAATAATCTTTTATCGTTTTATGTTACTTTCTTTTGCTTAACCAATCAGAAAAAAAAAAAAAAAAAAAAAAAAAAAAAAAAAA